TTTAAACATAACCAAGCAAAATACTTACTAATTAAATTCTTGTAGTACTTTCACCCCACTTTCTAGCACCACGAAATACCATTCAATAACTTGCGCAATCAATGCTGAACTGCACGTCCAATTTCTGTCTAACAATTTCAAATTTCCCAATTCCTCCAGTTTAGAGGCCACGAAACCGATCAACATGACGACAACCACAGGCGATCCGTCGACCCTGAAGAGTCCAGCCTCCCTGTCCGGCGGCGACTTGGTCTCACGTCTGTTGGCAGCGACCCCTCCGTACCTCTACAATGTTCCATTGACGCCTCACAGCTTCTTCTTCAGCGAGATGTTGCGCTCGTTCGTCCAAGCAAAGACGGAGGCATCGTCGACGGGAACAACAGCGAGCGCGCCGAGACGTCGGAAGAGATCTTGGAGGGACGCGAGGGATCGCCCTCTGGAACTGACCACGAAGGAGAGACACCATCACCACCATCACCATCACCATCAGCAACAGGAGAAGTACTTTCACGGTCAGCAACAGCAGCAGCAGCAACAGCACCAGCAGCAAACGGAAGCCAGGTTGGAGAACAGGGGCAAGCAGAGCGACGGTTACGAGACAGAGAGCAAAGTAGGAAACTTCGAGCAGAAACCGAACTTCGGTGGCGATATACTGAAGCCAGTCGACGAGAACAAGGCAGACTTCAGCAAACAGAGCAGGAGTTACTTCGACGAGCGACCGCGTCACTTCGAGCAAGCCCAACCCCCCGAGAACATCTTTCCCAGCGAGTTGCCGAAGGTGAAACCCGAAGAGACTCACACCGCGGATCGCAAGAACTGCAGTTATAGCGAGCGAAGCACCTACGACGAGCGCACGAAGAGCACGCTCGGCGGCCAGGAGCTGCCTCTGTTGTCGGACCAAAAGAAGCTCGACTTCTCCAGGAATTTTCTCCCCGGACTCCCCGGGAGGGGTTGCGACATGCTGCAAGGTGTTAAGGGATTCGGTTTACCTGGGAACGTGACGAACCCTGATTTCCTCCCCAGCCCTCTCTGGTACCCGCCTTATCCGATGCCTCAATCCTATCCAGGCATCGACCCGCTGCATTTCTTCATCGACCTACGCGTGTCGGGGCACATCTGGGATAGGAAGCTCAGCGAGAGGCAGCTACCGTTCAAAGGCAAGCACTGTTCGGCGTTCAGCGTGCCGCAATCGAAGGAATACAACAGTAACAGGCCGTTGAATCTGACTAGGGACGAAGCGAGCACCTCGAGGACCACGGAGGAGAACTCGCACGGTACCAATCACATCCTCAGACACCTGACCAGGACGTACAGGAACATAAGCCAAGCACAGAACGTCTCGAGAAGCGAAACGTCCACGACGGAGAGCGAGGAGAGTCCGAAGGATGGTGATAACAGTGAGTGATTGCTTTCGGTGTTTGCGTTCGGTGTTGCGTTCGGTGTTGCGTGGCTCTGGAGCTTGTTGCGTGGTCGTCTGACAAGATTTAAGAAGGCATGCTCTGATTCGTTCCTAATTAAGATTGATAACTAAGGTTAAGTATCTGAGTAAGAAATAAAAACGGAAGGAAGATCGGAGAAACCTTTGGTTCACTCTAAAAACCAAGACTTCCAGATGTAACCGTGTCCTTTGGGTAAGATACTCCGATGTTCTGGGAGCTTGACTTCGATAATTCTCTAGCTAACTTCTTCAAGTAAGAAGGCATTAATCGGAGATCTGAAAATTTTCGATTTTTGTTGTTGTACATTTTCTTAACACGTCTCGGACGCCACGTCGCCCATACGCGACAGAGCTTTTCATTAACAATAAGGAGCTTGAACGATTTTGGGGACCAGTGTACAACTGAGAGGGTTGGTTGATAAACTGAACATTTTTCTTAGCTTTTAATTGATACTTTTTTGGAATTTTCACTGTAGGGCCATGTTTGATATGTTGTTAAATATATATTAAAAAGTGAATTGGCACAGGTTCGATAGTCTCAGAGTTTCTGCTTCTAAAGTAGTGAAAAATAACATCGCAAAAGACATTCCTTTTTTTGGAAATGGACTTTCTACAAAGAAATTTTAGAAACTACCATCTACGAAACTTCAGAAACTTCAGCTTGAAACACCAGTCTGATTATCTTGGTATACTTAAAATTTATAATATTTTCAGTTATATCGACGAGATGGATATATGTAGAAACAGTTCTTCTAATGTAAAAAGAACATTGACAATGCCCAGAGAAAAATTGAATTTCGATACTCCTTCATAAAAAGGAATGTCTTTTGCAATGTTATTCTTCACTATTTTAAAAACAGATACTCTGAGACTATCGAACCTACATTGATTCAATTTTTAACAGATATTTAACGACATTTCAAAAATGCCACACTGTGCTTCAAATGAAAATTCCGAAAGATATTGATTAAAATCTACGAAAGATGTGAAGTACAGCAATTTTAAAGTTTAGCAAGCACAAACCCTCTCAGTTGTGCACTGGCTGGAAAGGAAGTTACTAATCGATACGAAATTTTGTTGCAAACCAGACGAAAGATTCCCGAAAACGGAGAACACCGCCGCCACGTCGTCGAGTCAGGAAGAAGGGAGGAAGGATCTGCGAGCGTTGATTGGCCTCGAGCTGGTCGTCGACTACGTGAAAGAGCCGAAGGGGGATCCCGCGAGCGAGCAGGCTTCGCAAGTAACCGAATAACTCGCGAAAATCGAACGAATATCTTCCGATCTCGCCTGCACGAATAGGTATAGACTCAGACATCGCTCGACTACGTCGTTCACGGTAATATAGGAAGCTCTGAACGTTATCGTCGTCAAAACGATCGAATCCTCTCGATTGATACTAAACGAGGCTTCGTCAGGCCTCAAATATCTGATTGGATCTACCATTCTGTTTTCTAATATACGTCATCGACACGAATGATAATAACCGAAATGAATTGCACGCGTTTGCTTTCTCCACAGGTGTTCTTTCTACTTTCCAGTTTATGTTCAACGTGCTGACGCACTTTGATGCATTTTGATATCCGGTGATAACTAGACCGCGGATCTTGATGCGTTTATAGAAAATTTGAATGTGCAAGAAGCTACTAAATGCAAACAATATACAAGAATATAAGAATGATTGAAAGTAAAGTTTACGTTATAATATTTGCAGAATAAAATAAATTCCTATTTAGGCACGTTCGCGAAAATTTTATTTTTCATAAAGATCCGCAGTCTAGCGATAACGAATAATTGTTTTCGATAGAAAATTGTACGCGGAAAGTCATGTATATGGCCACGTTGAAGCTCGATTCGTTATTTTTAAAAAATTCGTAAAAGTTCTTTTAAAAGTATTAGGTTGTCCGTAAAGTTTCTTTCGTCAGTTGCATTCAATTATTTTCTGTGGCGGTGTTTATATAAATAGACAATCTAATTTCTTAGACATTGATGCTGTAACAGTAATGGAGCGAAATGAATTGTACACAATTTTGTAATGTAACATAAAACACGAAATATTGTGTATGAATTAATTATTAATAAAACGAAAGAAAGTTTTGGGACAACCTAATACATCTCATAGTCAGTGACGATGTTTTGAACGTAACCAGTTCTAATCTGACCGATTTCTCGAGGATCCTTTTCGAGCCACGATTAACCAGCACGGAACTAACCTTTTGATATCGCAGCATGGCACTTTCGAGACACCGAGTCTTTGGTTCGGCAATCTTTGCGACTCTAACTTTTCACCATTCTCTAACAGACTTTTTCCTATCGTTACATTCGAGGCTCGATTTAAAGAGTCACCTCTTAGGAAGGAGACGGGAGATCTTAGAGATTCTCTTCTGGGGGCAGAGAGGCTCCTCTCCGAATTCGACTGTATGTGATATGCGCTGTACATATTATAGTAGCGTTCTATTGTATCTATATGTACTAATAGAAAGTATTCGACGTGTATATTAAACGTAATAAAAGTAATGCGACTCAATTGCGTCAGAGAAATCCCTATCCCTTCCACTGCGAGCACGAAATGTGGCTGAGACAGCAAAACATTTCTTTCGTGAGCCCTGCACCCCTTTATACTGATGTTATTGGTTTTGGTACACGTTCATTTTTGACAATTTATGTTGTTATTTATTTGTTTATTATTTATTATGTTTTACGATTGTTGGACCAGTTGTAACCATGTTCGATATGATACTTCCATATGATAGCGAACAAGTGAGTAAATAATTTAAATTATATTCGTAAAGAAATTTTTGTTTGTAGATTCATCATATTTATCATATGTGTATTATTTATTATTATAAATAGGGACAATATGGACATTTCATCTTCTCGTGGAGTAGAAACGTAGAAATGAAACGGAAATTAAAATTTAATTTTAATTATTTGATACTTCCATTAAACAAAATACATAAAAATAGAAAAGAAATTAGGATTCATGTTCAAGATGTTGGAACAATATAGTTTCTCGCGAACTTTTCAAAATCTTATGAAGCAGAAACGTAGAAATAAGATAACAATTGAAATTTAATTAAAATTATTTTATACTCCAATCAAACGAAATAAATAAAAATAGATCAAAATCAAAATCAAAATAGAAAATATAAGTCAAAATCAAAGATTTAGGAACAACATGATTTCTCATGAACATCTCAGAATCTTGTCAAGTAGAAACGTAAAAATAAAATAAAAATTGAAATTGAATTTCAATTATATTATATTATCCTCCTACAAATAAAATATAAATTATAATTCAAGATCACGTCGTCACACCAGAATGGTTTCGCACGAATCTTTTTTCCCTTTGTCAAGCAGAATACATAGAAATAAAAAAGAAATTATGATTGAATGTGTACAACAAATTTTTCTAATGAAACGCATAGATTCGACCGCGAGGGTCGTGACAAATATTTTCTCTGCGCCCTGTACACAGACTCGGCATCTATGGAAGGGTCCAGCTGCACGCTGAACTCGAACTCTCGAAAGGGTGAAAAACAGAGAACGCAGAGGGAAGGGGAAGTCAGCTTCCTCACCTTGCTGAATGCGCCAGGCTCGTTATAATCAAGAGCACCCTCGAAAGGAACGCACACGCAAAAGGAGCGTCGCATTCAGTCACACCACTTCGTCAGCCTCTCGACCTTATGCCAGGTTTCTGGATTTGTCTCGATGAAAAATTGACTTTTTGGAGGTTCCTGTTTTGTTGGATCAGAAAGTAAGTAATTGTTAAATTCTTGGTTAAATTATAATCAGTATATTTTACACTTCGAATTTACCGCGACATCGTTTATCGCCTATCCTACGCGAAGAGTTTCGTTTGGCTATTTTTCTCTCTACTGTCATTTCTCGAAGTGCGACCCATGTCAAAATTGTATACAGCGTAATCTCGGTTTCGTAACTTTAAGAAATAAATATATTAAAACTTAACAGTAACACTGTGATTGAAAAAAGCGTCTTTAAGACTAGTCATTTGGCTGATCGCTAAAGAAATAAGTACGAATAAAGGTCGATTCAGACAATACGACACGGACCGTCACGTTCCAGCAACGACACGATACGACAAAACATTCAAACACGCGTGTTAATGGAACTATCCACACTGTTCCCGTTGACGGAACGTTCAGGTCGGTGTCTGTCAAGTGTGAATAGTTCCATTAAAACGCGTGTTTTAATGTTTTGTCGTGTCGGTGTCGGTCCGTGTCGTATAGCGTGGATCGACCTTAAATCATCGATAGGTTTAGTGTCGAAAAACATAATCCTAAAAGCACCTTTTGGAAAACGCTTCACGCTCCGCGCGAATTCTCCCCAACGTCAGATATGGATTCCTGCTTGGAGCATGCTCCATCGATCTAACCGTGTGCAAACACCGAGGCGAAGTTTTACATTCAGCCTTTGCAAACGAGTCGAGGGAGATCGATATCTCCCGTCAGATTTGCCCTCGTCCCTAAAAGCCACGTATCTCTTGTCAATCCGTGCACGCACACACACACACAACGAGGTCTCGTGTTCCCTTAATTGTGCTCTGTCGACTCTCCGTCAAAGACAGACCAATCCGTGGAACGGATCTCGATCAACGTACGACTTCGCGAGTAGGATTACCATTCCTGAATCCAAGGTCGGTATTAAACATAGGCCTAAGAATCTTGGCAACGTCAAGCTTTAGGCTTTGGATCTTTGTGACGGCATTTAGCGATTTTTGGGGGTTGAACAATTTGCAATTTTTATGAATTGCTCTTGAGTATAACTTAACCCTTTATTTACTGGCTGGACTTGTAAGTCACGTTAATTTTCTCGTGGTACTGTATTAATTAAACCCTTCGAAACCTATTTGTGACTTTCGAGTCCACTTCAGCTTATGCTTGTGTTTTTTCTTCTCTTGGAAACTCGTTAGAGGACAACTCTATAAGATGATATAAGATCGAGATGGACGCCTAGATTTCAAAAGCTTTTGAGAAATTCAATAAATAAAGGGTTGAAGGGTCAAAACTTTGATCCTCTTTTAATCCTAATTGCCACAGAACAAACTAAGAAAACAACTACAGTGCGAAAGGTTAAAACAATAAAAAAACGGATATGTTATACCATTTATATTTTATTAAAGAAAATTCTAAAGTCTCTTTTGGAGTATTCTTTACACTTTCCCGCGAACTTGATCAAACGGTGTCGTGATTGGCGATTACGCGAAGTTCCAAGATTACTTCACCCTTGTTGTTGCCATCAATTTTCACAGTTTTGCGACCCTGCTCGGGAACAACGATGATATCGTCCAATCCAACCCTCTTAACGGGTGCCTGGACTAATTTGTAACGTGCAAGTGGTAACTCCTCTTTGTTCACCTCGACGAACGGCTTTTCTGACGGCGCGAGCGTGTATACCTGATTCGGACACCAATACGACATTTATGATATGCGTTGCAATTAACGTCGAACGGGGGCTAATATTTATTCGGACATTTTACAATTAATCAGATTAACGTTTGGCCACTCATTGTCCTGGTTTAATTAAATCGATTAGCAACCAACGGTTTTATTCATCAACGTCGACAAAGAGATTCCTGGAGAAGATTTCACTGAACAAAGTAAAGTGCTACAAACGTATGTATGACATGAATGTTGTAAATATTATAGCATATATTAGTCCCTTATTTTTAAATATACATTGCCTATTTACTCTTTCTCACGGTACTAGTTAAAACAAAACTCAAATACAGAAAGTATTAATAACGATATAATTTCTATAATAAAATTCTGAAATTATTTGATTGTGATTTTTAATAAAAATAAAGTAGTAATCGATACAATCGCAGTTGCAATTAGTTTTTCAAGTATTATTTTATCCAACATAATCCTTCCGCAATCAAGTACGCGGCAACAACGCGGAATAGAGAAACAAGCTACTTCTCGTTGCCGCATACTGGAGCATTCCTGCGCCTACGAGATGGCAACCGAACCGACAAACCGACTAGCATAGGTTGCCGCATAAAAGGGGTAACTCTGCGCCTACGAAATGACAATCGAACCGACAAGCAGGCTAACATCGGTTGCTGTATACCAGGGGCACCTCCACGCCTACGGTGTAGCAACCGGGCCTACAAACTGGCTAACTACGGTTGATATCTAACAGGGGCATACTCGCGCCTACTTGATGACAACTAATATTTCGCTTACTTATCGTTCAGGCCGCCGGTGCCGTTCTCCTAACATCTCCCATCATCTCCTGACATCTCCTAACATGTCCTAACATCTCCTAATACCTTCTAACACGTCCCCACAGCTGTACCCACGTGTACACATGTATCGAAATCGCGCCGCATTTTACTCTTGATATCAGGAGCACATGATATGCGAAGAGGTGGCACGCTTGCGCCTACGGACAGGCAACCGGTTCGACATGTCTGTTGGTACAGGTTGCCTAATTCAAGGGGCTAATTTTTGCTAAATTTCGGAATTACTGGCCAATTTTGCATTTTGGCAAAGTCAACAATGTTGCAAATCGCTTCTCCCAAAACCTCCACAATGTTGCAAACCCAACGATGTTGCAAATCGATTCTCTCGGAACTTCAACACTGTTGCAAACCCAACAATGTTGCGAATCGCTCCTCTCAAAATTGTGATGGAAAATGTCGGATTTTTACTCTTGGTATCAGGAGCACATGATATGCAAAGAGGTGGCACGAAGGAAACCTGGTACGTATCGAATTTTGGTCAGAATTTTACTCCTGGTATCAGGAGCACATGATATGCGAAGAGGTGGCACGAAGGAAACCTGGTACGTATCGAATTTTGGTCAGAATTGTACTCCTGGTATCAGGATCACATGATACGCGATGAGGTGGCACGTTTGCGCCTATGAGTAGGCAACCGGCCCGGCGTATGTGTAAGCATGGGATGCCTAATTCAAGGGGCATATTTTCGGTACATATTTTCAGTAGAAGGAATTTTAATGGAAATTAACGGGAAATGTCACGGAAATGGGGGGAAATTAAAGGGATATGTGCCAGGAAATGAAGGGAAATTAATGGGATATGTGTCAAAAAATAGAGTGAAATTAAATGGAACAATTGCAGGAAATGAAGGAAAATTAAAGCGAACTGTATATCAGGAAATAATGAGAAGTTAATGGGAAATGTGCCAGGAAATGAAAGGAAATTAAGGGGATATGACACAGAAATGAAGGGATATTAAAGGAAAATAATGGGGAGTTAATGGGAAATGTGTCAGGAAATGAAGGGAAGTTAATTGGAAATCTACCAGGAAATGAAGGGGAATTAAAGGGAAAATCTCCACGAAGCTATATATGATATCATTGTTTTAGAAAATCTTATTAATACTATATTAAAGCCTGATGATTTAGTTTAAAGGAGAGGAGGACGATTCAATTTATCACTAAAATTAATTTCTCTATCTCCGTGTTAAATAACAAAAAATTAGATAAGCTATCACCTTGTTCAGCTTTATTAACTTTATTAGCTTCATTAGTTTCATG